TATGGCACATGTAGCCCTGTCTCAGCAAATCTTGGCCAGCCACTCACTATGGTACATGTAGCTCTCAGTGTCAGTTAACCTTGGTCAGCCACTCACTATGGTACATGTAGCTCTCCGTGTCAGCTAACCTTGGCCAGCCACTAACTATGGTACATGTAGCTCCCAGTGACAGTTAACCAGGCCAGCCACTAACTATGGTACATGTAGCCCTGTCTCAATTAACCTTGGCCAGCCACTCACTATGGTACATGTAGCCCTGTGTCTGCTAACCATGGCCAGCCACTCACTATGGTACATGTAGCCCTGTGTCTGCTAACCTTGGCCAGCCACTCACTATGGTACATGTAGCCCTGTGTCAGCTAACCTTGGCCAGCCACTCTATAAAACATTCCTATTTTACAAAAAACACTCTTATATACACAGCTGTTATCAAGTTATACAGCCGTCATCAGATTGTCATCCTGTTGTACTTACTTTGAGACTTATCTTGATAATCCCAGTTAAGACAGACACTTTAGAAAATTCAACAGCACTGAATATTTCTATTCTTTCTGAGAATAACTTCTGAATATTACTGAGTAAACTAGTGTCCATGGTGCTGTAAAGAAGGAAACCAAACATGTTGAATTATCGGCAAACATTAAGGGAATATTAGTTACAATTCAACCAAGCTTAAACAATTATGCTAAGAAGATGGCCATACAAATTGGTCATATTGTGCCCACTCTATTTAGCATCAGTCATTGCAATTGCAAATATAAGTCAGGAGAGCATTGAATGTTTGAATGTCATCTCGCATAAATTATAAACATAGCAAAACCATTGAAACCTTGCCTGCAAGAGAATAGTTAATACAGCTGGTTAAGTTGAGACCAAGAATTGGCTAAATTCTTGAAATAGTGAAATTTTATAAAATAATTAGGGGCCCAAGCCTGTAGGGCTAGACCCCTATTGTTATTGTCCTGTTTTTAGGGGCTCAAGCCCGAAGGGCTAGGCCCCTATTGTTATTGTTCAGTTTTTTCTTTCTTCCTTAATTTTCTTTCATCAAGTTGTTTGAGAAAACCGCTGAACGAAATAGTCTGAAACTAAGCATATTTTGTAGTCTCCATTATGAACTGGTGCATAAGACTTTTAGAGTTTTGATTGGTCAATTAGTTCGGCAGCCATATTGGATCGAAGTTAAACAGGAAGTGGCTATTTGACCAATTTCTGAGGGTCTAGGAGATGAGTTTTTTTATGGTATATAGTACAACTCATGTGTAATAGATATCATAAAAAAAATTCTAAACATAGACCTCAACTTTTTCCGCTATGTCTTTTCTCCCAAAACCGAGAAAAAACGCTTGAAAATCTTCTTCAGAACCACCAAACAAAATGCTTCCATATATGAAATTTAGCTTCAATATACGAAGCACATTTAAGTTTGAAAAAATTGTTATGATTGGTCACATGGTTTGGCCGCCATATTGGATTTCTTCTAGACAGGAAGTAGTTTTTTTTAATCAAGCCACAATTATGTGGTCATCATCTAATCAGCTAAATTGCAGCTCTATAGTGAACTCTTTCAGATGTCGAGAAAAAAAATCAGATTAGTCACGTGGTTTGGCCGCCATCTTGGATTTTAGACAAAATTGACCAAAAGTTTTGATATTTGTTTCTCAGAGGTGATTCAACCAATTAACTGCTGATTTTCATTATAACATGCCTGAACATTGCTATAAACTGACAAAGGTGTTTGGAAATAAACTTTGAACAGATCTAATTACCATACAGTGACTTCACACAAAGGTCAAATATTAACTAGAGTAAAAACAAAGTAATTTTTATATAATGAACTTAAGATGGCACGGGTTTCAATAAGATGAAATATATACATAATCACACAACAATGGAAAATTCCAATTAATTTCAAAACAACTATTACACCATGGATTTTCTCGTTAAATCCTGATACAGATTAGTAGGATTGAATTTCAAAACATTAAAATTACTTTTCTTTAACTAAAAAAAGCTTTTCACAATTACGTTTTAACTGAAAAAATAATTACTCCATATCTCATTATTATGCATGTAAAGTGAACCAATATTGAACTTGGTTATCCTTATACTTATATATAAATTTGAAACCGATCGAGTAAAAATTACTTGAGTTATCACGCCCACAAGCGAAAACCAATCAGTAGCTGTCTCCCATTAATTATGCAAGCAAAATGACCATTGTTGCGTGATTGTTCATAACATATATAAATTTGAAACTGATAGTGTAAAAATTACTGGAGTTATGGCACCCACAAATCATGCCAACAACAACGACACCTAAATCTTTCCCTTACTATACCTTCCTTTTTGTTTACATTACACTACAGGCAAGGCAAAAAATAAGATGAAACTGCTTACTTAGAGGGTGCGTAATTTGAGTGTCTGGTTCGTGGCCGAGCAGCACTATAGCTTAATGTTCTTTTACTAGAGTCACTACTGTGTGCTTTACGCATGCCTTCTTCATACAATAGCCCTACTTGACTGTCAATTGATGTGATGTCTTCCACCACTCGTTTCATGACAGCACGTACATTGCGTGGCTCTATCGTATTCAGCCAATCCCTTGTCTCAACACTTTTACGTAACATCTGAAATGAATGTAAGCACAGTGGAGTTTACAGACAACAATAAACATACATGTACACTATCACTTTAACCGGACATAACTGGAATAGACTCAATAAAAGTAGATCCTAGTTTGGGCGTTTTTGTTATTTATTTAATATTTAAATATAATTTAATTTATTTATTTCTTCAAATATAATTTAATTTATGTTTTTTCATATACTTGTTTGATTTTATTTTATTCAAATCTATTTCCTAGTATTTTTGTTAACGTTATGGTTATCAGCTTCTTAATGCAATTTACATAGGTAGTTGGACAGATCCTTGGAGGCATATTGAAAATTGAATCAAAATCACGTCTGTGGATTTTCAATGAAATGTGATTAATAAGCATATTACCAGTATGCAAATTGGGTAATCAGTATGCAGCTCCCAGTGTAAGTTAACCTTGACCAGCCAAGTTTCATACCCACACTAATAAGATCTAAAGCATCATCCCCAGGCTCTTATTTACCAAGTCTTAATGAAATGCAATAATTGGTTTTTGAGACATCAATGACAATTAGATAATTTTTATGCAAATTAGGTTATTATGCATGGATTTCAACCCCAAACGATCACGTCTGTACATTGTTCTGATGATTAATTGGTGGAAAAGCCGAAAATGAAATTATTATGCCAATTAGGTATTAATTATTAATATATTTAAACTCCAAACCACTAGTACCTAAGTCGTCACATTGTCTTAGTGCATTTTATGTACCAAGAATCATTGAAATAAGATGATTACTAATTGAGATATTAAAACAAGCAGCCTATCGGCTGAGATAGCATCGCTGTTAGCAATGCACATTTCAATTAAAGAACTGAAGACATCATTAGAAAATGAACAATATGTATAGAATCAAAGCAATCGGACTTACAGTTTTTAACAAGAAGTCGAAAATATCACTTTCTACCAAAAATTACAAAAATATTCACCAAAATTAGAGAATTGAAGATAACATCACGAAATGAACAAATCTGAGAAAGGTCTACATGTAGTATCTATATATGTAATATCAAAGCAATTGAACTATTGGTTTTTAACAAGAAATCGAAAATATCACTTTTTACCAAAAATTACAAAAATATTCACCAAAATTAGAGAATTGAAGACATCATCACAAAATGAACAAATCTGAGAGAGGTCCACATGTACATGTAGTACCTATATATGTAATATCAAAGCAATCGGACTTGCGTTTTTTAACAAGAAGTCGAAAATATCACTTTTTACCAAAAATTACAAAAATATTCACCAAAATTAGAGAATTGAAGATATCAACATGAAATGAACAAACCTAAGAGAGGTCTACCCAAGGTACATATACACCAAGTATCAAAGCATTCAGGCTTGTAGTTTTCAAGAAGAAGTCGAAAAAGTAAAACATTGACACGGACGACGGACGGCGGACAACGACGGACAATCACTCATATGATAAGCTCCGCTCGACAAAGTCGACAGCGGAGCTAAAAAAACCTAAAAACTAAATATAATGCAAATTAATATGTGCAGATTTCAACACAAATTGACTCACATCTGTGCATTGTCCTTCACCTTCTTTGTACTAAGTTTCACCAAAGACTTATACTTATAAGTCTTATACTTATAAGTCTTATAGTCTTTGGTTTCACTAAAATGTGACGATCAATACTTGAGATACATGTACCAGCGAAAGTGCTTAAAGTTGACTAATTATTATTCTAATTAGGAGACTAATATGCATGGATTTTACACAAAACTTGTCTATCCCTATATACATTGAAATACTGGGGGAACAGACAGACATACATGTACATACATACATCCAAAAACAATTATATTTTTAAAACACATTCATCTCATCCTACCATCAATCTAATTTTACCTCCATTTGTGCTTGCAAAAATCTCAAAGTACAAAATCAATTAGGACTACTTACCTGAGATATTGTAAGACCTTGGAATTTCACATAGTGATTCAATAATTTTTGTGCAGTGTTTTTGGCTTCATTTGATAACTCGGTTACAGATGTGACTTTGGATTTATCATCAACCATAAATTGTTCATTAGCACAGGAAAGCTGCAACAAATGATAACATATTAAGCATTTTACATGTGTGGCATCAATACATGTGTGGCATCAATACATGTGTGGCATCAATACATGTGTGGCATCAATACATGTGTGGCATCAATACATGTGTGGCATCAATACATGTGTGGCATCAATACATGTGTGGCATCAACAAGAGGAGCCCTACTGGCTGCATGGATGTGGAAGAAATTTAGGCAGAGGGTTCTTCGAACTCGGCTATTCACATACCCACCAAAATGACTATTTTGAACTGTAGGCATTAATCAGCGATTCTGCCAATGACAGAGATAGAATCTAGGTCAGGGGAAGCCCCATGACCCCATGATTCTTTTCCCTTACGTCACAAACCATGTGACCGAGCCCATATGGCGGCGCCATTACGGCTGGATATCCACTCTGATCGAAACAGTTCTGCATGAGGGCATAGGTCGAAAAGGTGAAACCTGGGAGCTTCCAGGGAGTGCTGATGGTATAGAAATCTGTCTGCAAAAAATGCTGAGACTGACTTATCGCCTATGCACAGGGACCCTTGTGGTTGTTTGGGCTGGGTCAGCAAACCAAGTCTGACGCGCTACGACGGGACCCAATCTAAAGAGACCCTTCTCAGTGGATTGTCTCTGAGGTAGTAGTTGATAAAAACGTTCTGCGTTCTCCAGAAGCCTGCCCTCAGTGTGTGTTCGAGGGGGCGCCTGACGCTAGCACTAGAGAGTTGAAGTATTATAGACCTCTAATACAGTCGCAGTAATCCACCTGGTGATGGAAGTTGAAGAGGCCGGCCTATCCTGCCTGCCAGGTATCCAATATTGGATGTTCCAAAGTCCAGCAATAATCTAGTAAGTAATACGTACCAGGTATACAATAGTGGATGTTCCAAAGTCCAGCAATAATCTAGTAAGTAATACTTACCAGGTATCCAATTGTGGATGTTCCAAAGTCCAGCAATAATCTAGTAAGTAATACTTACCAGGTATCCAATAGTGGATATTCCACAGTCCAGCAATAATCTAGTAAGTAATACTTACCAGGTATCCAATAGTGGATGTTTCAAAGTTCAGCAATAATCTAGTAAGTAATACTTACCAGGTATCCAATAGTGGTTGTTACAAAGTCCAGCAATAATCTAGTAAGTAATACTTACCAGGTATCCAATAGTGGATGTCACAAAGTCCAGCAATAATCTAGTAAGTAATACTTACCAGGTATCCAACTACTGTATGAATCTGATTAAAATCTGATGTAACAAAAGTAATAAAAAATAAAATTAAAATAAGTTTATAGCCAAAATACACTACATCAGATTTTAATCAGATTGCCACTGTATTAAAGCGACGGCGTGCAAAGTCTTTCGGCCGGAGTTGAGACAAGGCATATCATGTACGTGTCACAAAAACGATGCGAAAATCCGATCTTACACCGTCAAACTTACCCCAGAACAACGACAAAACTTGTCAGTCATACTGTCACAAAACTTTGGTTATACCAAAGGTATCCAGGTCAGATGTTGAAACTGAGGTCGCTGTGCCGGTCGCCGTACATGATACACCGCGTCCCGCCGCGTCTCAAATTTCGGTCGAACCAAGTACCGCTGAACGTCAAATATCCACAGTTACAAGTAGTATGTTGAGTCACAAAACCGGTTTATTTCACAACTGTACTTTCAATGGGCAAATTACAGTCCAAATTGTACAAAAACCGGAATGAAAACGTGGAAAATCCGTTGTTTAAATGATCCAAACTGTACACGACCCTGTATTTCAAATCGCGTTGTGCGTCAGTAAAAGGTCAGAAAGGTCCATCCTTTGTTATGCTAATTTGTGTGTTTACGCTGCTCTATTCAACGTGGTATGTTTTTTTTTCATGTGGAATAAAAATTAATTTGGCTCAAATTAAATACTGCCATAGACTATATAGTCTGCCAGATAATCACATTTTAAAATTAGCCCTGGATGAAATGATAAAAATTAATTCAAACTGGGTAAGGACTATTAATGCTACACTGGGACATGATCTAATTAAAATAAAAAATGATCACAATATGGAAAATTGGAATCAAATACTAAAAAAAGTAAAACTCAGACTATCTGAGTTTTATATTCAAAGATGGAGAGAAAAACTAAATTTCAGTGAAACCAATGAAAATAGGGGAACAAAACTGAGAACATACAAACTATTCAAAGTAAGCTATAATATGGAAAATTATTTGCAAAACATTTCAAATTTCAGTCTCAGGAAAATGCTTTCAA